TATATAAAAGCATGAAAGCATCATGTATGTATCAATAGACATATTCATGCAAGCATTAGTATGTAAATAGATACATACGTAATATATACACATGCTCATGTTACTCTTATCAGACATGGCCCTTTCGTCTTCTCTCATGTCTATCGAGAGAAAAATGGGGCAGCTTATTGCCTAGCTAAACTTGACATTTCTTTGCCTTGTCTATATTTGATACCTTAATTCCCACTTTGTAATCCCATGTTGTTTCATCCCACGATCGATAAAATTAACTGATATTGTTCCAAAAAAAAAAAAAGCAAAAAAATGAAAGGAAAAGAAAAGAAAGAAGGATATGGCCCTTTCAAGTGCAAAAAGTGTGTATAAAGGATAATTTCACTTTCCAAACATTAGATCATCTTTATTGTATTCTACTAGCTTTTTATAGAGAGAGAGAGAGAGAGAAATTGTTTGTTTTTTAAGAGAGTATAGAGTGTGTGTATAGGTGCAAGTCACTTTTGTGAAAGGTAAGGCCCCCTTTATAAACTTGGGAGACAAATTGAAGAGAGGGTGGCCAATTTTAAGCTTTTAAATTTCTTTATTCATTGAAACATCGGGAATTTTAGCCGCTAATTGGTCTAGGATATGCATAAAAAGTAAAATCCCTTTATGATTTTTTCCTTTCCATATTAAAGCTTTAAAAGGCCTTTCATCTATGTATTATCCAAAATAAACTTCTTCTTTGCCGGGTTCTTGCAGCACGCGTAAAAAGCAACTTTCTTTGAAAAGACGAGAATATCCCATTGCCAACCTAATACATAATGAGTTGGAGATCCCAATCCTCCAGCCAAAGGTTTAGGGTTCCACATGCATGCTTAAAAATAAAATAAAAAACTCCGTCACGACCTGTCCCAAGCTGGTTATGCTAGTCTGGTCAGTTGATACCATTTTTATCAAGATCGGACTTGTTATTCAACTGGTGGAGGTTTGGTTTTGTCAAAATTGATCTAATCATTAATTGAATTGATTTGATTGGATTGGATTTTAAAAAATAAGAAAAAAATAGATATCATAATTTTAAAACATAAAATATATTTGAAAACTTTGACAAATTTTATTTGACGGTCAAAATAGTAAAAACTGACAGTGCAGTCAAAACCAGACAAATATTAATTTTGAGTGGTTTTCGACCGAATCTAATTTTTATCTTGGACTATATCGGCTAAAGAACTGGTGGGAGGTCTAACGGGTCGAACCACCAACTTGGTATAGTCTTGATAACTATGGCGGGTAAATATGAAGTCCAAAACTATTTTAGAACCCAAAAGAAGAAACAAAATATTAGTATGTCTTGGATTGTTGCTTGTGCTCTTATGTGCGTATGAACCTAATCAAGCACTTAATTATGTTAAGTAGTGTTATTGGAACTAACCTGATGAGGGGAATATTTCAATTAGAATTAGACCCGCACCAATTTGAGTTTGATTGGCTAACACTAAGTAAGAAAAATATGAAATATATTACAAAAAAGAGATTGCATAATGTTAACCCAATCAATAAAACTAACATGTCCAAATATTGATTTTTACTGATTCCCGATCAAATCCAATTTTTGCTTCGACTAAACCAATCAAGGGAATAATCAGCAATCCAACCAGTCGGACCGGTCAGCTTGGTCCAGTCAAAATAACACCACTCTCAACTCCAAAACTAGGTTGAATCTCAATCCTCTTTTTTTGAATGTATCTCAATTTTTGCTTTATGCAATGTACTCTCATTTCATATGCAATGATACTATCATTGCATAACAGTATCATTGCATAACAATGTCCAAAAATGCCTCAACCCAAAATTGATTGCTTGCAAATAAGGTATTCACATTTTCAATGAATAAATTTGAATAAACTTACACACTTGATCATTCGAGAAGTCAGTACATATGTTGGTGTATTTTATTTTTTATTTTTTTGGGTAGTTCAGTGGTAGGAACTGAATTTAAGATATAACTTTTTTTGAACTATCAGAAGTTGCTTACCACTCAAATCCAAGCCCAATTTCTGGATGTTTGCGCATTATTGTGTTTATTTGATGTGTATATGTATGCATGCACGATTAGAGGTTTTAAGAAAACTTACGCTTGTGTGAGCGAGGTCTAAATTTTCGAAGGTAACATGGATAATCGACGGTCGAAGATGAATTCCAAAGAACTTGGAGTTATTTTCCATCTCTAGATCAAGGGAGCAATTGTAGCTTAAAATCTTGGTGGGTACCCCTGAATTATCCACCCCTTCACTCATACGAAACTCCGTTACCACCACTTGCTACAAAAATCAAATAATCAGTATCGATCAACAAAACAAATAAATCAACATTAAAAGAAACAATAAATCAATAAACAAAAAAAAAATAGAGCATAAATTTAAGAGCAAAAGGAAATTAAGGTGTAGAAAGTATAACAACAAATTAACCAAAAAGAAAGAAAGAAAAGAAATTCCATCTTTTTGGAGACATCCGATTAAATTGGAACCATATAGACAAAAGTGAGGTTTGTATAAGGTGTCAACCTTATACTATTGAAGTAAGGTGTACCTCAAAACTAGGTCGAACACGCAGTTTGGTGCTGCAAAACCTTGCGATGATATGAAAGTCTATTGTTGCCCTCAATTATGAAATTTAAAGTTTCATAAATGATGACGATCAAACAGATTTATAAACACTTAAAAATCTTAAAAATAGAAGCTGTAGATAATGTGCTAAAAGATAAACTATTTTTATGACTAAAGATCCATTTTTTTTATGTCTATGAATATTGAGGTCGAGATGATCAATTTGAGGGTTTTCTATTGTAAAAACTACATTGTAGTGGATTATTTCGGTGAACCCTACTTGTAAGGTATAAGGTTCACACCTTATATAAACTTTTTCCTATATACAAATAACAAAATCCAAAAAATAAAAAAAACAGAGGTGGCCCGCCACGTTAAATAACAGGAACCATTTTGTCACGTGTGAAGAGACAGAAGCCAGCTGGATCGTTTTGACAATTTTTTAAGTGTCAGGGTACGTGGTCTTTTAAAAACTGTCGTTACTTACCGTTAATAACGACCGAAATTTTGTCTACTTCCTTTTTTTTTTTTGAAAGACCACAATTTCAGCCCCAAGTAACTGAATATTTCCCATATTTCAGCCCTATTTTTCCCAAACATTTTTATTTTAAATAAATAAAAATAAAAATACATCTATACACCATATTTTGGTGTACTATTTATCTGCGGACCCAGGGTTTTGGAATCGGTTTTCTAGAAATTATATCTCCTAATCCTTAAGATGAAAGTTACTTCTTTTACTACTCTTTTTTTTGGCCCAAATACGAACTAAAAAAAGCCTACTTAATCTCTCTCTGCCATGTCTTTATTTCATCGTCCATAGATCATTTTCATTGTTAAAATGAACAATTCAATTAGCGAAAGGAAAATTAAGGAACATTGGTTCATGGCTATTGTGTGAATAATTTGCATAAAGTTTGCATAGAGAGAGGTTCAGTAGACCGATAGAAGTGTCTTTTTAGTTTTTGTTTATGAAAAAAATGAACAATCAAAAGTATAAATCGGGTAAAGGATTAGAAGATGTATTTTTCAAAAAACCTAAATCACCTCAAAGTTTTTTAAAAAATTTTAAAAAATCAGGGTCTACGGAAAAAAAGTAGTAGACCAAAAAATAGAGTATACCAAAATATTTTCCCTAAATAAGAATTAAAAAAATAAACTTGTGGCTCCCACGAGAAAGTAATCCTGATTTTTACCGAAAATCTATCCAGGCCGAAAGCTTCACGAAATTTCGTGATCAATCTTAGCAAACTAAAAGTTTCGGCAAGAATCTTGAGAGACTAAAAATTTCACTAGATTTCGCAGAAATCATGGAAACCTGAAACCCACCTTCACGTGAAGCTTCGGTGTAGGTGGTCTAGTAGCCAAACAAAACACCATTACTGCAACTCCAAAGCTCAACAAAATCCTCCAAAAAACCTGCAAAAAAATGCAAAAACTAGGCGTCGATGCCCTCCGCTTTCGAAACCCTAAAATCCACCATAGCCAGCCTCTATCTTCTTCCTCCTCTTCCCCTTCCCCTTCCCCTTCTTGGGCTTCTTCCTCCATCTTTCGAAACCCGTAACTCGCTCTCTTCTCGTGCACGAACGAGTTGTTAGACCCGCGAGATGAAGAGTAACGAGAAAGAGTGGCCCTCGATGCACATGAATTGGATGGAATTTCAGGTCTGTAAGGAGAAGGCAAGCCTGAATCAGGAGGGTTTGAAGCCGAGGGGCTCTGGACATAGTAGAGCGAAGTGTATAGTGGGGTGGTCATGAGCTCTTCGTCGCAAGTTGAAGGTTCGGTTTCGTCTCTGTTGCTCTTTGCCATTGCTGGACTTTAGAGGATTGGGTGAAAGTACCGCGACAAGCGGCCGGGAAAACCAGTGCGGCAAGAATTTCCCGATGAAAAATTCCGCCGGAGAATGGAGGAGGCGCCTTTACGGTCTCTCAGGCATGAGGATTCTGGGTTTTCTGGAAGTGTTTAAAAGGTACAGTTTGGTGTTTTTGAGATGGACACTGACGAAATTACCCCTAAAATGTTACGGCTTATAAGAGGTGAAATTACTTGATTATCCCTTTTATCCGCTCTCACCATTGCCCGGTGAGACCAGGATTTGGATTCTTGCGTAATTGTAAAAATGCCTGAATTAACCTCAATGGTAGAAAATGACAAAAAAATGCCTTAATGGGTAATTCAAGGGGAATGGCGAGGCCCTATTTTTTTTTAAAAAAAATTATTAATGGTTTTTTAATACGTTAAGGAAGAATAGAAGCTTAAACCGTAGCCAGAGCAAAGGCAAATCCTACCACTATGACTTCAATCTTATTATCAAAAAATAATAAATTAGTGGGAATTTGAGCCCTCCCATTTAGAGCTCGGGCCCTCCCATTTGGAGATAACGAAGTAAGAGGCCTTGCCATGAGGCTCGACAATACTACGGGCCCTTATCATTCGATGGGGATGTCCATGTTGCCTATATAGCAATTTTACCCCTCCTCTCAATTGGGGAGGGGCTTTGAAGATGACTGAAATGCCATCTTAATTTGAGTTTGAGATTTTCCTCTAAAGGCTTCCCATATGTATAACTTTGATCTCTCTGTATTCCCTTCCAAAATTGGTCCAATGATTAGCTTAGGGGTATTTTGGTTTAGTTAAATTTTTTAAAAGCTCTCATATCATTTGAAAAAGGAAATGCATATTCAATTTATTTTTAGTACAAGGAGGTCACATTCGCTCTTGTATATTGCATTTCAAATTAGGTGATTGTAAGAGTACATTGACTAAGTTCAAAAGTTCAATTATTTTTTTTAAATTCTCGTGACATGTTCCAAGCCATCTAATTTGACATCAATGATTAGGAATAGCTATAGGAAAAAAGCTTATATAAAGTTGAGGCCCTAAACAATCAAATTAAGACATACCTCAAATATTCACTAGAAGAAGTTGTTTTGATATCGAAAAACTTTCAAATTGATCATATAGACCTTGAGATGTATAAACATAAAAAAAAAAAAAAAAGATGTTAACTTTGGGAAAGAGTGTACCTTGTAAACTGGGCCGTCAATTTTCAATATTTACAAGTTTTTATAAATCTGCTTGATCTACTCTATTTTTAAATCTTTAAATTTTATAATTCGACATGAAAATAAAAGCCATCACAAAAATTTAGAGCTTCTTTCGACACCATTAAGAGGTTCACCTTATTTTGATAGTTTAGAGCCCCAACCTTATATAAACCACACCCTTAACTAAAACCTCCTTATATTAAAGACAAATAATTCTGAAAAAAAGAGGGAGGGCATACCCGTAATTAGCCCTTACAATAATTGTTACAATTCGGGTATAGCGAAAGTCGCGCGCGATCAATGGGGCGTTCTTCCCAAGTCACCCCAACTCTTTCATACTCGAAACGAATTATTACCTTGAAATGACCTCAGCTTATCTATAATGTCAAATATACCTCTTTTACCGTCGCATTCACAACGTACCCTGGAGATGTAGACGAGTTTACGTTGTAGATTCCAAAAGATTATGTGCTCCCGAAGGAGCGCATTGTCTATTTACTCCCATAAGCAAAACTCATTTTAAGAGTTTTTCTTCTGATCCCAAATTTTGGCAACGTAACATTTCGCTTGAAGGTTTTCACTTCCATAAAATAAAATAAATCTGACTTCGCATGTGCCTGAAATTACAATATCCCAAGATTGAATAGATTGCTTCCAATTTTTGGAGAATAAGATCAAATAAATCAAAATCATATGCTAATTACTAAGTAGATCCCAATTTTTGTAATTAAAAGCGAGATGTAATTGAGTGTAAAGAATGCTTAGAGGGTTTTGAAAAAATGTCGATCCAAATCAGAATCTCCTGATTAGGATAAAAAATTAGTAGGACTGGTCCAACCCCAGTATATATCGGGAACTGATTGGTTCCTTTAAAAATCGGTCATTTCTTTCCAATCCAGCCGTACCTTTTATTTTTTTATTATTTCTTTCAGCTTTTATTTTATTCTCCATTTCTTATTTTTATTGGCTGATTCACTTAGCCAGATCGCTGATCTAGACAACCAAACCTCCCATCTAGACTGATTTTCTGAATGTGAGATCAGGATCCACCATCCATGTTTTTAGACACTAGCTAGGAGCACATTATCTTATGCTTCCTACTTGCTCTAGTATAATATGCTCCAGCTGTATACTCCCGCACCCTTTAGTTGCAAAGTTGGGAGGCTAGGTTTCCAAGGGTTGTATGTCATTTATCACGGAGCAGAGAGGCCTTTCGGTAATTAGCCTTGGGTGAGAGATTGAAGGGCGTTTTGGGCAATATATATTTATGGAAAAGCGTTATTTCTTTCTGGGAAAAGGACGGTGGTGGCATGACTCGTATGATTAGTCCACATTTTTATGCTCACTTACCGAGCGTGCTCCTACTTTACTCTTAACTTCATTACTAAAATTGCATTTTAATTCCCGATTAAATGATAATGCATTACCCTCAAAATATTAATTACCTTTAGTTTTATATGAAAAAGCAACAAAAACACGGTTTGAATGGCGTTATTTTATGGGGGATTGTATATTACCAAATTATTCATTTTTGATACAAAGATCACAATCACTTTAAATTAGTGGATGTGAAATTCACTAGGTAAAAAACGATGCAAAAAAGAAAGTTAAAATAAATTTTCTACATCTATAATATTGGCTCATAATAGAACCGGTAAAGAACTAAAGATAAAAACTTAGCTGGAAAAGATAAGATAATAAAGTTCAAAAAAGACTAACAAAATATACTGAAAATGGTAACTAGGGCTCCTTTTATTATTATTATTATTATTGTTGTTGTTATTATTGTTATTATTATCGTTATTTTTTGTGAGAGAGATAGAGATTTATCTGAGGTATTGTTGAATTTGGTAAATGCATAATATTGATTAGTAACTTCAATATTGAAATCTTGAATATCGGAAGTAAAGATAATTCCTATTTTGGTCCTTTATCTCATCTTATATCAAATTTTTGTTTTTCTTTTCCTTTTGTTCTTTTATCAAAAAGCAATCCAAGATTGAATAGTCCAAAATGGAGGGCTTATAAGTGAATGAGCATTAGGGCCATGATGAGTCTAAGGGTGGGGACGCTTCGACAAGGCTTCTCCTTAGCTTAAAGGCATGTGCATTTATTATTTTTGTTATTTTATTACTATTTTTTGAAATCTTGAAACATTTCATCATGCATGTCACCCAAATTGTTTTTGGCTCCTCTCATCATGCATGTCCCCCGAAATGACGGGAACTTTTGAATGATAATTCAATCAATCCTTTTCTTTTTTACATTCAAAAAACAGGAAAAGAGAACATGCTTTGAAAAATAAAAAAATATTGATGAACTTAAGGTTAGGAGATTCGGGGAGGAGACGTGATGTCTTGAATTCAATATTTATAATAGATAAAAGACTTATTTTTTATTAAATTATTATTAAAAATATATATTTGGTTTTTTTTGAGATGCCGCATACTAGTTAGTATGCAAACATTGCGATGCAACAAGATTAATTGAATAGCCTCCCTCGAAAAGAGTCTGATTCAATATATCTCAAGTAATTCCCGCCTCCAACAAGGTGCAAGATTATTTTGTTACCTGCATTTCTCGGTCATCCAATCACATGGATGTTATATATTTGAAGGATTACGTCTAGAGTTCCATTCCTACTGTGGTTCCAAATTAACATTCAAAAAGTTTCAAAGTCTATGCATATATTAAAAGCGTCTCACACTACATACACAAATAGGAGGTCATGGTCTTTATAAACTATAAGCCTTGTTGTACTCACAAGAAGGGAAGTTGTGGTTTGCTCCAAAAATACAAGCTTATAAGAAAAACCAATTTCATATGGTATTTTTGAAAAATAGTAGTTGGGATAAGATTCGGATGACGATGATGATGATCCCTAAAAAAATAAATATTTTTATAAGGCTCTATATAGCTTGCGAAAAGTATATAAAGAGACAATTTAATTTTAGTACAAGGAGGTCACAATCACTCTTGTCTGTCAAATTTCAAATTGGTGGTTGTAAAAATGTCATTGACTAGACAAAAAACTTAAAATAAAATTTCTCGAACTTTACGACACACCCTAAGCCATCCAATTTGACATCGAATGGCTAGGAGTAACTGAGACACCCTCGTAACAAAAATCAAGGTATCATTGTATACAATCCCTATAACTTGAATGGAGGATGTAAATTTCCTTTTAGATGAACACCAACAACACAAAACAAATAGGGCAATATAGTTATAGGAGGTTCAAAAATCATACTCAAATCTTACTCAAGCTGTGGGTTCACAAAGGAAGAGCCCATAAGCGAGTGCTCATATGCTTATGTGCATGTTTTTTTAATTGCTTGTGGAGTAAGCAAATGAAATTTGCGGGCCTACTATAATTATCACCCTTTGTTTTGTGATAGCATATGAAATTTGAGGGCCTACTATAATTATCACCCGTTGTTTTGTATCACAAGTGACATAATATTTGTGCTCATAGAAAGTTAAGTTTAGGAGATCAGGTGAACGAGTATTATAGGTTTTAGAAGATGGAAAGGTATTTTTGAAATTTTTAAGTGGTTGCTTAAAGAAAGAATTTCTTAATCTTTCAAATTCTCCAATAGTTTCTTGTTAAATATTTGGAAATTCCATAGAACTGCATATATAAATATACGAGGAGATTACAATCGCCCATAACTGTCCATAAATTGAGTGGTCATAAGTGTATCATTAACCAAGCTCAAAATCTCATAAACAAATTTTAAGTATTGAGACACTCCAAATTGGATTTCACATCAAATAGCTAAAAGTAATTATGACCTTATTTTACTAAGGTATACAGTCTTATAAAACATGTAAGATTTCTCCTTCTATCCAAAAATTTTGGGACTCAATTGTCAGCAACATTTGTGGGATATCAAAAGCAAGGCTCGGCTAAACATCCATCTTCCTATCAATTTTTGCACATTTACCATAATTTATGTGTTTTGATGGCTATAAATACCGTAATAAATAAGTTTTAGAATCACCTTTCCATGCACTTAGTGATTCATTGAGTCTACTGGGTCCAGTACTGTGAGGCGATTTTTTATTTTTATTTTTATTTTTATATGTTAACCGTGGGAATGGAGGGTGAGACATTATGTAGAGGCATTCTCCTTCCTACCATTGACGGCAAACCATAGTGCCAATTTCGAAGAAGAATTGGTACGCTTCACTAAAACGCAAAAACGAGAATTGAAAATTGAAATAATTAATTATGTGATTAGATCAACAATTTCACGGATATTGTCGTCATGTTTTTTTAAAAAAAATCATTTAGGTACTTGAGAATTTTGTTAAAAACATGTCCAATTTGTCTGTCTTCCTTCTCAGATCCGAAATACTTATTTTATTTTATTTTTAAGATCTTACTCTAGATTTGGAACCTAGAAGATGTGGGGTTATTTTGATGATTTAGCTTCACTAAGATCACCAAAAAAAAAAGGTTAATGACATTGCTGGTTCCTAATTCCAAGCCTATAGGTTTCCCTTTTTTAATAAAAAAACAGGTCTAAAACTTGGAATAGATTGAAGTATTTAAGGCCATTTGGCTTCAATAATTTCACTTGTTAGGTTACCAAAATGTTCATTTCTGCTTAAGTTTCTGAACCCAAAATACGGGTAATTTGATCCTTTCCTAATGAAATAATGAGAAAGGTACCCAAGTAAAATAAGCTTTAAACATTGACCACTTAATAGTAAATTAGTTCACTTAACCACCTCAAGGAATTCCTAAGGTGGTTTGACCATGTTCCTTGTATTTTTGAAGGGTGAGGTTTTGTATAAGGTGTCAACCTTAAACAATTACGGTAAGATGCACCTCAAAATCTTATTAAAATATGTATTTTCGGTGCAAAACTCTTATCATAGCCTAAAAGTCTATTTTCACCCCTATAATAAAATTGAAAGCTCCAAAAATGGTGCAAATCTAATAAATCTATGAGCACTCAAAATTTATGAACATAAATGGCCTAAATAATGTGCTACAAGATGCATTATTTTTATAACTTGAAGTTCATTTTCACTTTCATATCCACAAACCAAGCGTGTTTATCACTCGGATGCAGTTTGTTTAGAGCCGATGCTCTAAACAATCAAATCAGAGCCCACCTTCAAATAGTGTCAAGAAATATAGTTTCAATATTGAAACGTTTTGTGATAGTCTAAAATTATATTTTCATCTTTAGTTACAAAATTTAAAGCTTAAAAAATAGTATAAATCGAGCATATCTATAAAAACTTGAGAATCTTGAAAACTGACGATCAAAAAATGTGTTACAAATACACTATTTCCAAAACTTGAAATCCATTGTTTTCTCATGTCCATGCACCTTGATATCAAGATGATCAATTTGATGATATTTGGGCATCAAAACAACCTCTTCTAGTGAAAGTTTTGATGTAGGCTTTGCTTAGGTTCTATATAAACTTTTCCCTCATCACAAAGCTAAGCCGCGATTAATAGATAGGCACATTTGGCAACTGAAGTTCGGGGATTCTCTAGAACCTGGAAGTTCTAGTTTCTTGGAGCTTGGAACTATTGATATTTGGAATACCTAGAATACTTGACTGATAACCTGCCTAGAAGTTCAGAGAACAGACATCACAATGATCCAACAAAGATCTACAAATATTACGCTTCAAAGAGAGAGAGAGGAGAACAGACATCACAATGATCCAACAAAGATCTACAAATATTACGCTTCAAAGAGAGAGAGAGGACATGGTTAGATATAAGAGTACTTAAATAGAGAGGGGACATGGTTAGACAGAGAAAGGACAAACTTTAAAGAAAGAAGTTAGAGAGACAAATGGCACAGTAGGAAAAAGAAGGATTCGAGAAAAAGGAGTAGAGAAACAAGACATAATAAAAGAGAGAAAATAAGTTTTGAGTAAAGGTATAGTTATAAAAAAATATGCAGTTAAAGATAGTAAGGGCAGGATTAGGGAGAGAGAACATACTTAAAAAGAGAAAAGGTACTCTTAGAGAGAGGAGTTAGAAAGAGAAAAGGCACAGTTAAAAGAGAGAAGAAAAAGTTTAAAAAAGAAAAGGGCATCATTAGAACAAGAGATGATTTAGAGAGAGAGAGAGAGACAGGGTATCAGTAGAACAAGAGATGATTTAGAGAGAGAGAGGGAGGGAGAGAAGATATTGCTAGTGAGGGAGGACATGGTTAGAGAGAGTTACAGTGAAAAAGGTACTGCTAGAGAACGAGGAGATCGAGAAAGGTATTAGAGAAAGAAAGTGAACATTTAGAGAAGGGAATTAGAGAGAGAAAATATATAATTAAATCCTTCATCAGTAGTTGTGAATGACTGATTTTCTGATTGTCCTGAGAAGATAACACATAGCTGAAGAGAGAAAGGAGTTAAGAGTGCACAAGAGAAACAAGACATGGGAAGTGAAAAAGAGAGTGAGAAATGAACTTCCTAAAAAACAGGATGCGTGAACTTCCATGGAAGCGACAGAAGGTGCAAGTTCTTGTTTTTTGAGAACCCAAAACTTCCCAAGGCTAATCTCCCATGGCACTTCTTGTTAATGGAAGTGCTGCGGTAAATGGAATTTTCAACTTCTAGAGCTAGAAATTCCAATCATCAAACTTGCCCTTACCGTGCATCTCCTCGCATTACAAAACTGCATTGCTTTGCGTGACCTCTCTCTCTCACACACACGTACACAAATGCACAATAGGCACAATTATAAAAGCCGATGACAAATTAAATAATGAAATATTACACAGTATGTATAACACTCAAACCAAAAGAAAAGGTAAGGGTTAGGTTCTAAGGAACTTCCAAGGACCTGTGGCAGTTCCAATCCTGAAAAAAAGAAAAGAACATAAGACACTGAACTAAAAATTTGTTCTAAGAAAAATTCTCAAATTTAATTTGATTTTATTTAAAAAAATCTCACCTCCAGAAACCAGCAAGCATCCTAAGTGACATATAGATTGTCAAAGCAATCCAAATACCAATAAATCCTTTGCTCCACGACAAAAGAATCAAGCAGCCGATGCTTGCAATAGCTACAAGGACCTAAAAGACCACATCCATTAAAATTTAGTAAGGTCAAGAATATAGAGATATAGAGAAAACAGAGATTTAGGAATAACGAAAAAAAAAAAATATAGAATGGGACTAAGAAAACTCACCATGGACCATGCAGAGTAGGCAAAATCCGACGCCCCAAAGTTTAATCCGTCGAACACAAAGGCCAAAGAATTGATTGGTTGTGTAATGGCTACAAACTGAGCATAAATGTTGAAGCCATGTTATTGGGTTGCTTGCTCAGAAGACACACAACGTTGTGTGTGTGTGTGTTATTAAAACAAATCAAAAGAGAAAAGTACACCAACGTCACGAAAGTAACCAAAACAACATTTCCTTCAAGTATTTAGGATAGAAATTGTCTTCTCAGTCCTTTTATTCTTCTAAATCTCAATCTTGAGCTTTCACATTCTATTCTATATACCCTTTTGAAGAGTTCAAAGTTTTCATTATTTGTTTCTTCTTTCTCATCTAAAAAATACATGAGAGGGTGAAAGGCCTACCGGAATGCCGACACGCATGAGATGCAACACATGGACGTCTCTCGTGAATATCTGCCCCCCAAACCTTAGGCCTAACCCAAGAACTACGGAAAGAATTAATCCAAGCGCCAGACCCAACTGCAGGCAGAACCGACAATAGTTAATAGAGTGAGATAGCTATGAATCAGTGATCAAGTTATCTAAGATTTTATCTGGAATCTAAGTACCAAATCAAAAGGTTATATTTCTGCAGAGATGCACAGAAAATTGGAAGGATACTTTATTTAAGTTGAGATACCTGTAAAACCCGGGTGGCAGTGATCCTTGCCTTCTCATGATCGCCTACTGCAAATGCACTTGCTAGTATTGCCTGAAATTATTCCGGAATACAATATTGTGTTTGAGTTTTCGAATGTATTTAATGAATTTGACCTTATTCCCATTTGAGGCTTCTATATGTGTAAGGATTCTAAGAGAGAGAAAAAGAGAGAAAGAGGGAGAGAGAGAGAGTGTGTGGTTGTGTGTGGAAAGTCATGGCAACTTTGCTCTTTACACCAACGATTGGGTTGGATTCGTCAATTTTGCTTAAAAACCAGGTATAAGTTTGAGTTTATCTTCTCAGTTGGCATCAAATTAAAAAAATAAGCTTAAAAATCAGTTAAGATGACATTTTTTCATAATCTGAGGCAGTCATAGTTCTACAGGCATGTTTTCAAAATTGGCTGAAATTTTCAAAAGCAATTCACAGTAACACAAATACATATATGTGCATGTATCCCTATGTATTGCTACGAAGCTACATGGGCACCTACATACGTCCATGACACATACAATCATGCACACATGTCATATATAGATGGATACATATGTATATCCAAAAGTGTCAGTGCATAAATATGCATTATGAATGCACTTATATACATGCATATACATGAACTCATGCCTGATGTATGGAAATGAATGCTTCAACTTTCAGAGATAAGTATGCATGACTGACCTGACCAGCAACTGCTAAGCCATCAGCAAGAAGAGATGTTGTCAACCAAACTTGCAAGCAAACCTGAAAGGCTGCCATGGGTACCGACCCCTCTCTTGCAGCCATAGATGCGGCTAAAGTTACACAGAATGTGACTGCTATCACCCTTGCAAGCAACAAGAAGCCTGTGCAAGAGTATGAGCAACTCAGATAATTGACATGCAAACAACCTTTTCTCTCATTTCAGAAGGAATAAATTTTATGACATTTACACTAGTTTTACTCTTCTTTTCTTTGCTTTTCTTGTCTGGACAGACTAGTTTTATATGAGTAAACCTGCAACATCTTTGATAAAACTAGTTTGGTTTTCCAATCCCTGCAATTCGTTCGATTCCACATTAGTTTGCGTCTGAATCTGACATCCAAGAGGAATAATTTTTTTTTCCTTTTGGCAATTGACATCTAAGCATATACCATGTTCGTTTTTTTGGAAACCCTTCCCTTTTCTGGCCAATATTAGAAATATTTTCTAAAATTCCACTAGAATAAATAAACTAGTTACGTTATTACTCCCCAAGAAGAACCATATGCTCAAGATTTGTATGAACAAACTCCATTCTATAAAAGCCTCTAGAAATTGTTCCAAGCTATCAGACAATAGAGAGAATCATAGTGCAGAAAAGACCCAAGAGAATATAATTAATGGCAACAATATGTATTGTACCATTTTTTAGGAACCGATCATATTGCAGATCCGTGATACTTGGAGGCACGACTTTTATTTTCATGCATAATCTCCATAATAATATAAGCATAAGTAGGTACCTGAAATTAAGAGAAATTGCATCAAATTCGAATAAATGTGCTACTGATAACAAGACTTCTTTACCGAAAAAGAATTCACAAGAGGGAGTACAAGAACTTAATAATCTAGAGAAAAGAAAGCATTGAATACTTACTGAGAAACAACATGTGCAATGGCTGCACCCCTAACACCTAACTTCAAAACAAACATAAAAATTGGATCCAAGATAATATTTGTTGCATCCCCTATCACTGCAATCAAAATTAGAGTTATAAAGGCACATATGAAAATTATGAGCTGCAAGAGAGAAATACATTTATAATTATGTTCATGCAAAAGAGAGAGACTAATCATGAAAGGCACATGCTGAATGATTAGGACAAGCAAGTATAAATACAAAGGAAATTGTAAAAGGTGTCACTGGAATAAGTGCAATGCTTGTCATAGAGTCATATTTTTTTAAAATAGAACATGAACATAGAAAATGGATATAATTGATATGAACTTGACAGTACCATTTCAGAGCATTAAGACGTTCCATAATACTAGAACGCCACGATAATGAAATCACTTCCACTAATTCCCAAACAACAAGGTGACAATAGTTTTTTTGAAATAATTATGATCCCTATAAACATTGTGAAGATTGGAGATATTGCTATACAAAGATGTTATGCTACGCCTAAGAGGGGTTGGAGATCTGGTAAAGAAAGAGGAAAGAAATGACGAGGAAGAAGTACAAGTGGCATTGAAGCTTAAATTGCAAGAAACAGGGTTATAACACTGAACCAAAAAAAGTTAAAAGTGTACAAACCAAAAGTGGAAACTACACATACCAAGGTTTCAAATAAAAAATTTACTCCAATTAATTTGACCAAGTAATCAATTTTGTCAGAAAGCATCCTTGCACTGACACGTTTTACTAGAAAACAAGGACTATAGATATTAAAAAATAAAAATAAACTGCAATTTCTTTAAAGAAATTCCATTTGGGTTCTCTAAACAGATAGCTTTCTCAGAGAAAATGCAATAATTTGCTTTTTCTCGAAGAAAATCTTGCATATCCATGTTTATTTAGAGTTCAGATTATATTTTACTTAGTTTCAGTTTGACCACATCAAAGGGGCAGACGTGACCCAGTATTCAGTTCATGCCACAAAGTTTGGTTTAGAAGCCATGGGTTTCTTCTTGCATTTCCACCATACAAAAGAGTGCCTAAAAAGATTTAGAAGACTCCGTATGCAGTGCTTGAATTTCCTATCTCTGATTTTAACCATGTTAAGATTGAAATATGCAAAATGAGTTGTTCATAAGTTAAACAACATAGGTCCTGTATGAGCAACCTATTGTTTACAAACTATCTACAAGTTCCATTGTGGCGCCTCACCTCTTAATCCCTAAGTGGAGTCTAAAATGCCTTACCAACGTAAAAGCTCCCTTGCTATCCCTGGCTTGCATAAATGGACAGAATGCTATCTAACTTATTTAGCCTAGTGATTTCAAGTCAGTAATCGACCTTTCCAATAATCTTACTTTTGTAAAATAATATTCATCTTCTCATATTAGGACTGACATATAAAATATCTGCCAGCCTATGATTGGGTTAGAAGAAAATATTTAGTTCCAGTGAAATTAATTCAATTGAGATCCATGGCAGAGGTTAAGGAGAAGTCTAAAGGAGTCGATATGGAATTCATTTCTATGAACAAATTGTGTTCATCATATCAAAATATAACCTCAAAAAGAAAACTTATTACATGACAAAGTATTATCGCAATTTACTAGTACATAATAAGTAGCATGATAAAAATCCCCTTTCAGATGAAAAACCACTTTTTCATGCATTTACGAAACAAGAATATCATAAGACGAGAAATGATTCAAATTTCTCTACCTACCTGTGGCAAATAAAGGAGTTTTTGTGTCCTTAAATCCTCGAAAGACCCCCTGTGTGGCTAAAGATAATAGAACAGCTGGTGAACCGAGAGATCTTAACTTCAAGTATTGTTCTGCTGGAGTTAGCATGGGAGATCCCTATTAAATGGAAAAAATTAATGTTTTGGCCAATATCCCAGTCATTAATGACAAAATATAGAAATCTCATTACAAGAAAAACAACGGAAAGCGTACTTATTATAACACCCTGAAGTTATCCTTGTAATTGAATTTTCTTGAGTGTGGAAGAGAGTGGGCAGCTTTAGAGGTAATATGACGCTTGCCACTCCTAAAAAGGTAAGCTTTTTGTTTCTTAGCATGAAATTGAGAGAGAAGGAATATATATATATATATATATATATATAATCCAATGGATTCTGGTATTCTCAGAGCCCATTAGAGATCTCATCATTCAACGAAACAAGGGATGGTGAAAAAGGAGGGTGGGGTCCACAGGAATAGGACATGATGCCAATGATGGTCGCACACACTGTCCATCATTTCATTGAAGGGGTTTGACCTCAATGAAATATTGTTTACAATGGTCATTGAGTTAAAGTATGGTTTCTCTGAAACAACGATATACATTACAGGAGCAAAGCTGATTTTGAGCTGTTTGGCACAATCTTTACATATTAAAAAGAAATGACATATTCGTTTTCTATCCATCTTAAATATTCCAAAAAGAAACACAGCTTAATAATCCTTGATGGTTCTCTAAGGCTCCATAAGATGTGTAAGAGAGCTTAATTTAACATAACATAGCAATTGATCGAGATTTACAATCTTAGATTCATCATAAACTTTCTGCTATCCTGTAAAGTATAATTTTATCATTCTTGGTTACATTAGAAGAAAGAATTTGCATGTAAATCCATGACATAATGAAAGAAGCCCACTTCATTAGCACTTGAAATTTTGTATTTGAGAGAGGTTAGAATATCTAATTACATGCGCATAACCTAGACACTAATATTAGGACTTTTATGCTGCTACCAAGTATAAAACCTAAAAATAAGTGGAATTCTCCCAATGCCATTCACAACTCAAAAATATGTCGAACTCTGCCATTTTTAGCTCCCAAAGATATAACGACCTTGAAAATCTGACAGAGCTCCGAGATAACCTGCATTGCCCATGAACACCCTATCCGAGCCAAATTCAGAGGCTCAAGACATCCTGTGTAATCCATTTAATCCAAATTGAGCCTTTGGGGAATGTGAATGGCCTAATAAATTCAAACAAGAACTAATGGCATAAGAGAGATTTGGTTAGGATCCCAACTATTGACTGGTGTGATCACATGCCTTCTAGAATGGCTAGAAAAGTAACAAAAGGTCAGGAAGCTCCTACCTAATGTCAAAGAATGATCAGCATCATCATCATCCGAGCCTTATCCCAGCTATTTTGGGTCGGCTATATAATGTCAAAGAATTCATAAGTAATATTTGGATATCCCTGGTGTGTGTGTGTGTGTGTGTGTGTGAGAGAGAGAGAGAGAGAGAGAGAGAGCAGCAAATACGAATTGATGTAGGAAAACAAGCTACAACTACAAGAATCAGTGTCGTAACTTTGAAGGTTAGACTATAGAATCCAGAAGAACATTGAATTATGTTTTCTTTATTTGATATTGTTTCTTTATTTTAAAGCAAGAAAGTGTAAGGGTGTTCAATACACTTGATAACTAGATGCAATCTCCAAACTGATCACAAAATTAGTTTTCTGATGGCATTGATGCTTCAACTAAAAGTCTTATAGCATTTGTACAGTTTTTTATGTCAGATTACAGAATCGTTTCTTTGATTATAAATTTTCTTAAGTAGGTTGATGAGAAAGCATAGCAAATTGATATCACCCATGAATATTAAAGAAATGAATCATCAAAGAACAATGAATAAAGAGTAAGGATAATAATAGTATAGAATGGATTCATGGGATATTCACTTACATGCTTGACACCCATAATGCTTAAGATAGACCTAGCTCCAAATATAAGGATAACAGCTTGGAGGAGGCCCAGAATACTGCCAAAAACCAAGGCAGAATATGCAGAAGGTATATGTCTTTTCTCACACTCCAAATAGGTATCATTTGTCTTTGTATTAACAAAGCCTAAAGGCTTATTTGTTTGCTTTTCAGGATCTGAAATTATAAAGAATGGAATAAGTTAGTGAGTTTAGAAGATGCCATATCCCATGCTTATTAGGGGCCACCAAAAAAAAAAACAAACAAACAATGGGGCAAATGCCAAATCCCATAAAGTGCTTCAAAATGTATTTTTAGCTATAGAACCAGTAAGAGATTGCCAAAGTATATAAAATTGCAATCTTCATTAGGTTTCAATCTCTTCGGAAAAGTATTATAATCACTATAACTTATAAAGCTATATGTGAGAGAAAAGGTGGAGAAAGGTACAGCACAGGGGGGTGGATTCTAGAATACCATCACGAGGTAACATTTCATTCATTTCCTCTTCTTTTAGTGGAGACTTTCGCGTTTCTTCTATATCAATCTCATCACGTGTGATAGTACAATTTGCATCATCCTCTGCAACAAAGGATGTGGTGATACTCACTAGTGGGAAGATGGCAATTCTTGATACTTGATTAAATATGGCAATAGAAACTCCAACAGCAGCCAGCTCAACAGGACCTAAAATCCATAGGTGAACAAAGATGTATAAATATTTAAGATCACCTTCCCCAATAATGAAGCTCATCAATTGAAGAGAATTTATCAAAATAATCTAGAGGGAAATGTGACAAAACCAGGATATTGTAATTTTAGAATGTGGCACATTTATATTTAAGATGCAAGTCATAAAATTTCAATCTAGTATTCGTAAGACAACAAATTAGATAATAGGGAGGAACAGTGGAGGCCCTGTCATACAAGATGAATCGTAGGAAGCAAAGGCTTCTTACAGAAAATGAAAATAGATATCCCAAAATCATAAAATTTATAGTATATTTCATTGTTCTCTATTGTAAATAGTCATGCTACATAAACATCACAATAAGCAGGAGGTCATGGGGTAAATTAAAGGGAAAATGTTCATTAGGTTGGCCATGAAATTGCCCATCCCCAGAGATATTGATGCATACTTGGCAGACCCCTACTATGCAGTACAGAGTAGGCGGGTCACTGAGTTGTGAAGGGGAAGCTCCTAATGTCATCTCAAAGAGTCTAGCAATCCGCCCATTTAAGCTTCAGCCAGGGATTAGGTGTTCGCTTCCTACACAATACTTGACCTCATTTATCAGAAAAAACTAAAAAAAGATACTTCAAGAAAAAGTCAACTTTTCTTGAGCTCATGAAGTGGGAATGAACTGGGCAACTTATCCATATATTTTTCTCCTTGAGTTACTTGGTTGCACAAAAACAAACAACTCAATCTTAGATTTGCCTGATTCATATAACTAAAATGCTAGATGGAACTTGACTGCAACCAAAGTGATTTGCCTGAATCATATACCTAAATGCTGGGTGGAATTTGACAGCAACCAAAGCTCACCTAGAAAAGAGGGAAGCCTAATTTATCTAGCAGCATTTTATGAACTATCATACCCTTTTACTTCTACATGCACCAAAGAGTTAGACCTACTCCCACACATCTAATTCATCCGGGATTTTGGGGGGTCTCCATGATGACCAACGCTTGACATATTCAGCTATTTCATAGATATTCCCTCACATGAAGACCAATTAGTGCATTGGGCTTCATCTCTCAGGTATAATAAATTTGACTAATGAACTAGATGGTACCCATCAAAATAACTCAGTACACTAAGAATTTAATATACAATGAAAAGTTATGCATTAAGTGTGAAATATGAATGGGTAAATCCATAGAAAAAGATTAACTCAGTACACTAAGAATTGAATATACCATGAAAAGGTATGTGCAAAAAGATGTACGCCTAGTAAAAACTAAGTTCACTAAGAATTGCAAACCGCATAAAGCAAATAAAGATAAATGGCTGAATCCAAATAGAGTAACAAAAGCAAGCATCAAAGCAATATGGATTTTATAGAACATGCAATCTTCGATAAGATGAACTTGCCTATTCGCCCAATGAACGCTGTATCCACTAAAGAAGCGATTGGATCAGCCATTAAAGCCAGTGCAGCAGGAAATGCAATCCGTGCTATCTCCTTGCCTAATTCATCTTTCTTGAATGTGTGCCTGATAGGATAATTCCACCGACGATTAAAATTAAAATTGTCTCCCCTATTATTGTCCATATCAATAATCAACAAAACCAGTCATCCAAGCATATACCATACGAGCCCAATTGTACGCAATAGATAGACAGATAAAAAACCGAATTTCATTTTATAACTAATTGTTAAGCCCAACAAATGAGCAAACAGTTAAAGGGTACTATAAAACATGTGAAACCAACACACCTTCAACTAATAATAGACCACCCATATACAAGAGGTCAATAAAATAAAGGAAAACCAACGTTTTCAGTGCATTGGTAATCAATTATACAAAGCAACTGTTATCAGTCGAGTTTAACAAACTGAGACACAAATTCTCCTATTTTTTTCTTTTAAGGAACGTAATAAGAACACTAATTCCTATTAAAACCTGTACTGGGCAACTGCATCTACGTACCCGGCATCTTTGAAGATAACACGAATTGGGTTCTTTTCCATTCGCCTGATATGTATATAAATCCGCTTCCTCAAATAAAACTCAAAACCCTCGCCCAACTTCTATATGTTAAATCACTCACTGATCAAACACTGAGAAGTAAGAGAGTTAAATTCTTCTACTTGCAGCTGTAGCATTGATGTAAAGCTCGAACACCCCCATGAAAAAAACCACATAAATCATCGACTGCCAGATTATTCCTACAAATTCAGGAAAAAAAAGAAAGAAAGAAAGGAAAACCTTAGCCCATCATCGCATTCATGAATCAAACATGATAATACATAAAAATAAGAGAAAATGAAATGAACTGCAAAAGACAACTGTAACAGACTGAGAGCTTCACAAACTAGAAAATAAACAACAACCCATCAAGGTATCCATATCAAGAGCTCAACCCATCAAACACAAGCTCCAAAAAACAGAAAAGAATGAAAAAATAGCCAACCCAATTGCAAGAATTGCACAATTTTCTGATTCTGAGTATCTGTGGGCTGAACTAGAAAATGGGTACTGATAAAATTGGAAGGAAGATTGGCAATCTGAACTTTAGGACCATGAATCTCCATTGAAACTGAGAGTATAAATGCGTGTACGACGTATCTGAAAAGCCTGTACAGGTTGTAACCGCCACAGGGGAAGGCACTATCCCACACTGATTGTGGGGCCCAAAGCCATGGACCGCTAAGAACAAATTTATAATAAAATATTGTATGGGGCTATGTGAATTGCCGATTTTTATAAGCCATGTGGATGCTTCTAAGGATGGGGGGTCTAAATCGGGCATTTTCTGCAATAAATCGGCAATACCTCGGCAATTGATCGGCAATGGGGTCGTGGAATCTTAGGAAGGGTCCAACTGTAATAGGTTACTGATTTCAGTTTCTCTTGGTTTGCTTACATGTGGTGGATATGAATTCCTAAAATTAGAAGCGGGGGATTGCTATTTTTCAAAACCGTACATTTCTTCCCAATAACCTCAAAGGGAAAATCCATTAAAAATAAATTCAACAAACCTCATCTAACGTCTCAACAATTAAGCAGCGTATCCTTTTGTGAATGTCCCGCCTCATTTTAATGGATACTTTACTAAGGAAAACTTACATATAAATTTTATTTTATTTTTTATATTTAAATGAGGTGAGGGTTGTATAAGGTTGATATCAAAAGATGTTATTTCACTGCCAAAAATATTTTGGATAGTCTGAAAATCTATTTTAATATCAAATTATAAAATATAAAGCTCCAAAGTAGTATAAATCTAACCAATCTACAAACACTTTGAAAATATTGAAAATTGACTATTTAAATAATATATTACAAGATGCACTACTTTTAATACTTAAAATCCATATAGCTCGATGTCGATATGACCAATTGGAAGATTTTTTAGGTCAAGACGACTTTTTTAAACCAGGTTTTGTGGTGCATCTTCCTTCAATGGTACAAGGTTGACACCGTATATAAACTTTTTCTTTATAAGCATAGTCTTATATAGTTCATGTTTGAAAATCAAATATGTTTATAAAAAGATCATTTATACATGGAGATCACAATCATTCTCACTCATTAGATGTGAAATTAGATGGTTTGGAGTGAGTCACAAAATCCAAGATTATTATTATTATTATTATTATGGGAATTTTGTGTCTATTTCATGATACTCTTACAACCACCCATTTTGAAATTTAAGGGACAATAATGATTGTGACCACCATGTATAAAAGATAAATGATCTCTTTGTAGACAATTTCTATTAATTATATTTTAGTTATATATATATTTTTTTGTGAATTGGATCGAGCTCAAATTTGACATGTTTATACTTCTCATTGTCATACGACTATAATTTTTTTGAATAATTTAAAATAAATAAAATTATCAAACTACTCTTATATATTATAGGGGTTGTTTGTTAATTTTATTTATTTTCAATTATTTTCATGATATTTTTTATATACGTATAATGATGAGGAGTATGAATATATTAAATTTAAGCTTAATATGATGTATAAACAAATATATAAAATTAAAATATGCTTTATGTTCTAAAAAAAGGGAGTTTTGATTGTAAAATATAAAGTATATGGGGCTATTTGTAATATAAAAAATAAAACATGATTTATCTACAAATTCCGGTGAAAAAATTGGGTAAATAGTAGATCTCTTCTACGCATTTTGATAAATATCCCATTTATTTAATAATTAAGTATTTTCAAAGCACCCTAAATTATAGTTCATGATTGTGTGTTCTCTAATGGCTTTCTAAATTAAATTTTAAAAAATGAGAAAAGTGCTAGGTACTCCATTTGTCCCGGTGCTTCTTGATAAATTGCCCCTCATAAAGGGGGGTGGCAATACAAATTTAAAGAGCCTTCTCTTAAAATTCCATCCATGTTTTATTGGTGAAAAACCATTGTCTTTTTAACATAGCCATTTTATTTAGGAAAAGTATATAGCAAGACCATTTATCTTTGGCATAAGGTGGTCACAATTAATATTAACTATTGGATGTGAAATTGGATGGCTGCATTTATTTCATTGACTAAACTCAAAGTCTAAAAAAAATATTCTCGAATTTTGTGAGACACCGAAACTATCAGATGGTTACAGTTGTCACGTCTTTGTAACAAAGGTATATGGTATCATTATAGAGAAATGATCCTATAGGATCTTCCTCCACCCATGTTGTAGAACCCCAGAGGATCAACATTAAATATGGTACGGATATATAGAAAAGTCAAGTCCCGCACCTATGTGATAAATTTTCTAGAGATCCATGCCAACTTTAATGGTGATCTTTTGGAGTCCTACACACATGAATGGGAGAGAGTCCTATATGGGGGAAGGTCCTATAGGATCATTAATCATCATATTATGCATATCTCTTTTATACATCATGCAAAACTTATGTACTATTGTGTATTACCACAAAATTGACATAGGACTACAAAATCAGAAATTGATTACTAACAAATTTGTTCAAGGCCAATCTATCCACCAAGTAGTGGATGCAACAATTGCTTTTTGAAAAACATAACATGGGTGCAAAGAGCGAATCCTTTCAAAAATGTTGTTTTAAAAATATAATCATATTTCATGCATGAATTTTAAAGATCAGATCTGGTTCAATAAGTGTGCAGTCTTGATCACTTAGTTAAACGACCAATTCCCAACAATTTTAATTTCTTTTAGTTCCATTTTTAGGTTTCTTTGTTGTTTGACCCTAGAGAATCGACCGATCATGACACGCACATTGGACCGACTGATCTAAGTTTTAAAATAGTGGTCCGATTTGGAAGGGGCATTGGACAACCCACTTGGTTTTTGAAACAATGGTTTTAATCATGAATTATGCTCATGTATCAAATATTAGTACTAGTTAGAGTACCTCGAGATTTAGTTTGGTGGGTATTGGAAAAGAAAAAAGTATCTAGACACTACATTGACTTGATGAGATATGTGTATAAGGCAGCGCTTATGAGTGTGTGAATAACTAGTGGAAAGATGAGTGAGTTTCAAGTGACAATAGGTCTACATCAGAGTCAGTGTTGAGCTTATATATCTTTGTCTTAGTTATCGACTACTTAACTGGGTACCTACGAGATAAGGTATTGTGGTGTATGTTATTCATGGATGACATAATTTTGATTGATGAGACATGAAACATCGTCAACACAAAATTAGAACTTTGGAAGAATGCTTTACAAAATAAAAGTTTTAAAATTAGTCGGACAAAGACAAAGTATGTGGAAAGCAAGCTTAGTAATAATAGCAGTAGAGACGAAGAAGTAGTTAAGATTGACAATAAAAAAATACCAAAATGAATGCGCTTTTGATATCTTGGGTTGATAATCAAGGAAAATTGAGAGATTGAGGAAGATGTCAAAACTGTGAATTGATTTGTCTTTGTGGACTCACCTGGTTTCGTCAAGGAACCTGGCAATCTTGACCGGCCGAATTGCCCAATTTCCATATGTTATGTTCAAAATTAAAATAATTATATGTATTATATATTTTACGTTCAAGTCCTACTTTTTAGAGTGAGCTTTGTATTTAATTTTATTTGCTTTTCTATACATCAGATTGATCTCAAATTTGAGGAGTTAATACTTATCACCATTTTACATTTGTAAAAATATTAATAAATATCTAAAATTAAATTAAATAACCAAAATGCCTAAGATTGTAAAATTTATGGGGGTATTTTTCTTATTTTAATTTAACTAAGGGGAATATATCAAAATACCCATAAAAGATTAATTATTTAATATTTTACCAATTTACAACTATTCCAATTCAAAATCATGTGTATTTTATGAGTATTTTGTAATTTAAAAAGATATGAGTAAAGTATTACATTGTTCATCCTCTATGGATAATTCAATAAATTTTCCTTTAACTTAATTGTATTTTTAAATATATTTTTACAAGTACTATATGGCGAGAACTATGCATCCTTAAGAGCTTAATTGTATATATATATATATATAAAATAAGATTAAACTTGAGAATGGCTTGGGGCCCATGGTGAGGTCTTTGACTCCATTCTCACAAAAGGGTAAGGGCTCAAATCTTCACTGACTTACCACTTTTGGCAAAGGGGCTAGGGTTGTGGTGGTAGCACCTCATACCCTAGTCACCACATTGTGGTTTCTATTCCCATCACTAATTCCACTCTACTAATACCTTAAAAAAACTAACTAACTTTTGGTAAAGGGGTTGGGGTTGGGGTTGTCATGGTAAGCACCCCACACCCTAGGTTTCCATTCCCATCACTAATTCTACCCTACTAATACCTTCAAAAAACTAACTTTTGGCAAAGGGGTTGGGGTTGTGGTGATAAGCACCCCACACCCTAGTCACCACATTGTGCTTTCCATTTCCATCACTAATTCCACCCTACTAATACCTTCAAAAAACTAACTAACTTTTTGCAAAGGGGCTGGGGTTGTTAGTGCAGATTGATGGCAGAGAAACACTAACACTAAAAAAATAAAAGGAAAAAGGTTTAGAGAATATACCATCTCTCAAGGTTTGCAAGGGAATTCACCCCGGAGCTGGAGTTGTGGTAGTAGCACCCCACACCCTAGTCACCACATTGTGGTTTCCATTCCTATCACTAATTCCACCTTACTAATACCTTAAAAAAACCAACTAACTTTTGACAAAGGGGCTGGGGTTGTTAATGCAGTCTACAAGGGAATTCACCCCAAGGTTGAGAGAATATACCCTCTCTTAAAGTCTGTAAGGTAATCCACCCAAAAAATCTCTTTACGAAACCAAATTTTATTAACTCATCCACCTCTTTTTATAATGAAGGGAAACCTCCCTTTAAATAGACTAAAAACAATAAAATAAATATTAACAAGAAAAACTCTCTCTACACTATTCCTATTTTATTTCTTCTTCCCTATTTTCTCTCTCTTCCCTTAACCTCACTTACCATCCCTTTTTATCCAAAGCCTAAAAACTACTTTTTATTTAACATTATCCTTTTACATTCCTAAACTAGCTCCCCTAATTTAACTTTATCTTTTTATACTCCTAAACTAACCCAATTCGATATGCACAAGCTAAACTTGATAAATTCATGCCGACCTAATTATCCCTGCGCACCCTATTCCTGAAGAGATAAACAAAAGAATAATTTAAAATTAAAATAACCCTAATATTATTTGCATCATTCTTCCCGGGTTGGGAGTAGCTCGACCTCGAGCTCAAAAATTGATGATGAAGCCCCACTATGAGCTCAAAAAGGCTGATGCTTGCAATTGTGTTCCAAGAGTAATTGTTGAATACCAGCTTGGGCTGAGTATTCCTAACCCGAAATG